ATACAGGTTATCCTGAAAATGGTGAAGCATTTATTAGTAAAATTGATTGACTTTAATAAATAAACAGTCTTGATTCTCAAGAATTATCTCGAAAGAATTGACTGCGCCTTTGACATATCTGGATGAAATGACATTTTGGTCATTTAACATCAGCATTTAAAAAAAGTCTGAAAAAATTTCGTAATTTTCCAGTAAAATGTGAGAATTTCAGAAATCAATTTTTTCAAATGGAATGAGTGAGTGATCGGTATTAAAAAAACATTTCCAGACAGTATTACCAATTAATTATAATAAAGATAATTTTTTTTTAACGAATCTATTTTTTTATTCCATTTTTTTTTATAATGTCATATTACAATATGGTTTTTGAGTAAAGAATCAGTAAAAATGATTCATACCAAAATCATCAATGTTCTGATGAGGAAAATGAATATAATTCCAATAATTTTGCTAAAAAACCGTATAAATAATAAAACTTTTAATCAAAATGGTTTTTGGAATTTTGTTGGCTACATGATGAAAATAAAAATGAATGTTTTGTACATTATGTATGCGGCATAAGAAAAAAATAAATTTGCTACAGAAGTAGTAACAAATATTTCAAAAAAATCAGCCATTAGAAAGCATGTAAATACCAAAGATCACAATGATGCAAAAAAATTAGAAAAGGCAAGAATACAAATGGAATCATTACAAAATCAAATCTTTTCTTCTAATGTAAATGAAAATCATAATACGGGCTTTTTATTTTTAGCAAAACATAATTTACCTCTTAAGCTTTTAACTTCAACTATTAAATTAATAAAAGAATCAGGTTCACCAAATCTTTTTAGTGGTTCAATTACATATACAAATCAGAATTCAGGAAATGAATTTTTGGAAGCAATATATAATATTATTGAAAAAGAAATTTGGAAGGAATTATCTGATGTTATAGCATTTGGCATAATGATTGACGAAAGTACAGATATTACTATTACAAAACATTTAGATATATATGTTTTATGTGTAAGTAAAGAGGGAATTTTGAAAATTCGATTTTATGTCTCATATCTTTAACTAGTTGTAATGCAGAAAAATACTACAAAGTTTTTAGTTAATATTTTCAAAAAAAAAAAAAGATTATATCTAAACTTGTAGCATTTGCTTCTGATGATGCTTCAGTTATGTTGGGAAAAAAGGAAGATGTAGCTGTAAAGCTTTTTAGAGTATGTTCTTATCCTTTAATTGTTAATCATTGTGTAGCTTACAGATTAGCTTTAACATGTAAAGATGCAAAAAAGAAGTTAGATTTTATAGAGAAGTTGAATCCTTAGTTAAAAAATTTATAATTATTTTAAAAATTCTGTGATCGTATACATCGACTACAAGAAATTCATGATTTTAGGATGATCCAATTTTAAAGATAAAGGGATTATATGAAATACGTTAGATTGCATTTATTAAAATATATGCAATTCAATTCCAAAACTTTTGATAAAGGGTGGAAATTATATAATCAGCTAATATCATGGAGGACCAGTACAGTATAATTATATATTTTGTATTATACTGATAAGACGATTCATACTGATTTTCCTTTCTTGATTTATTTAATTTTTATTAAGGTACTTTTTTTTTATTTCTTAGAAAAAATTTTTTTTTATTAAATAACGTTTTGACGATCCTAGTAATGCAAAATCAATTACCATTACATTATTAACATAGGGTATATAGAGTATATACTTATAGAATCAGTACGGTATGATCAAAATTTGGAGAATCGTACCAACTGATCTGCATGATCATATCGCATATGGTTGACACTATATGGTATGTATGGAATGTATCGATTTTTAGATTAATAATGAAAATAAACAATAAAAAAAATAAAAAAAAATAAAAATAGAAAAAAAATGATAAAAAAAAGTAGCAGATATCGAAAAACTAGAATTGAAAAATCTTAAATTGCGCAAAGAACTTAATTTTGACTAATGTAATATTGAATATTATAGATTTATTATTAACAATGGTGCATATAAATTTAAATAAAAATAATTTTTGAATAAATTTAATTTCTTATGAGTCATCACTACGTAATTTCTATCGTAATTTTATAAATGTTTGTGTCATCACTTTATACAGTATATAAGTGCTCCAATAAATCCAGCTTAACCTGAGTAATTCGACCTGACTTGCATTCTTAGGTTGGGTCAGTATTAACATTTTTTTATAGCTTGTGACCTGCAATACCAGATTGACGGGTCGGGTCATATATTTTCTTGATCCAAGTGTAACATGGATGCATATATTTGGAATATATAGCGACTCTTCAATTGCGTGAGTTTATTGAATTTTGCAAATTTCTCATTGGGCATCATAAGTTTTGTCAATGATTTGGGAACTTTAACATTTTTGTAGTGTCAGGTAAAAAAGATTTTATTTTAAAATATGCATATTCCTCAAAATGATATAATATATAAATTTTATTTATTTTGTAGATATTATATAAAAACATTTTGTTCAAAAATTTATAACTACAAAGATAGCCATAATTGACTATGAATTAGAGAAAATGCACCTCCAAAAGCATTAAAACAATGACAGCAATATCACTTACAAAATTTTCTTTCTTCTCCAAAGAAAAAATGTTAACATTGGGAGCAAGTCGTGTGTGTCATCATCAAACTTAGAATCATTTTTATATATATCTTAATTAACCTCCTCCACTTCGGTTTAATGGCTTCACTCACTTGGATTGGCTAACCAATTATAATATCTATATACGACCTAGACATTTTAAAAATATAAATAAAAAAAAGAATTTTTTCATATTTACATCACTTATTTTTAAATTAATAAATCTTTTTAAAAAAATCTTGCTAGTTTATATTATTATTAATGTAATGGTTCACAACAATAAATCTCAAATTATAAAGATCAAATTATTACTAAACTATTTAATATGTATGTTTAAAGATGATACAATGTACATAAACTTGACAAATGCATTTTTGAATTTGCTATGTTTTCAAATATTACGTTTTTAAGATCCCATTGATCATGTTTCCCCACTATGCTATTCAGAGCTTATTCATATCGCAATTCATTTATAAAAATGAGAGATGATCGTGTGCTAGAATATTCAATGTGAGCACCTTCTGAGTTCTTTACAAGTACATGAATTCCCTTTTGAAAACTTTGCAGATGATGGTTCATCATAATGGTCATCTTCAGATTCTATTCGAAAATTTTTACAAAATGAACTTGCTTTACCAGTAGTAAGAAAAAAGATAAAAAGAAGTCAGTATAAATTTGAGCTCACATACCAACAGTAATATCTGGGGCGACTGGTTATTAGGATGATAATTGCTAGTGATTATGACAAGGATTGTCTTCTCACTAAAGACGAACGTTACATGTGTTATGGATGCTCCACTTCAGTTCAAGTATCTATTTGCCGATTAGTCAAGAACACTTGGGTTCTGCCTCATAATCACTAATAGAGAGTTTCGACTCCTTAGACAAATTCATAGAATTTTATAGAAGGACGTACAGTAGGCCGCTTTCCGTCACTAGGTCTGATTACCTGACTAGAAACAAACTGTTGTCACAATCTGCTTCCAGTTCTACAAATTCAACTCTCAAAGGGACTAACCTTTTTCAAATAATTCAACTAATTCCTCTTAAGTTGATATATTTAAAATAAAGGATGTGATAGCTGGAGTTTGATCGTTGAATTATGGCTCAGTTGAAAATGAAAGTCTAAAAAAAGCAAGAAATTGTTCAATTATTATTATATTCAAAAAATGTAAAAATCCTACTTACTTATCACATATTGGAAAAATTAATCACAGTAGCCTTAAATTATCAAAGACGCTTTAAAAAGTTATCGACTACAATTTGAAGCGATCCAAATTAAAATAACAAATAATTAAATCTTGTAACAAAATAATAACAAAAACATATATCGTTTAATTCTAATCCAAAAGCTGAAATAAAGAATGATAAAAAAAAGAAATCTATTTAAGAAATCGATAGTCTAAATTAAAAATAACAAAAAATAAATAAAAAAGTCAGACTACTAATCTAAAAAAAAAATCTACATATTTGAAAAAAATCTTAATAAAAAAAATATAGATCTTGTATATTCTGCGGTATTATCGTCCGGAGGAAGGTAAGATAAGAAGGTACGAAGATCGAAATATGTGCAAAGCGAAATCGCCATAGAATGTCTACGTACTTGTCATGTTTCCTTTTCAAATATTAAAACTTTCAAATCTTACTTTGTTTTTTTTTAAAAAAAAAAGATTATCGGTAGTAAATTATCATCGGTAAAGAATCTTCAGCGAAACACTTTTCAGTGCTATTCGCCTCTACTTTTATCTCTACATCTGAGTGTATGCAAGAAGATGGGGTTGATTGCTTTACAGTCGCTTCCTTATCGTTCTTGATTGTCCATCCCCTGCCATCAAACTTTTTTCCACTATTATGAGTCTGGCATCAAAGCTCCGTATTTTTTTGCTCTTGTTCCTCAACTCTAACATCTCGCTTGGAATTCTCCTCAATAATCTGCCTCGGCTTTGTGTTCTCATTCCTAAGATTGTCATTTTCGCATTCTCAGCCTCAAGCTCAGTAATGCGTTATTCCAATAATTCAAGCTTGGTGATTGTTAAAATTGTTATACAATGTGGCAAGGACGCTCTATTAATATAGAGAAAAAAATAAATACAAATCAGAAGCTAGCCCGTGAAACATGATGTAATTTCGTTTTACAAAGTGAAATTGTTCTATACCGATCCTAAATCCTAAGAACTACACCATTTTTCGTTTGTCTCTAGCCGAAATTCTGGATAATATAAATGGTCGACAGTTATACCTATACGAGATATGAAGCATTGGAAAATAAGTCAATGGATATGATTGCATTCCTGTTAGGATTAAAAGTCAGCCATGTAATCATTCGCAAGATTTATTTTTATAGTAAAGAAATCTGTACGAGAAATTATTTGATATCGTTAATCAGATCTTGTGTCGTACGTGTCGTACCGACCATTCATAACAAGGCATATTTATACGAGTTTATTCCTTAAAGCCTTAAACTTTTACCTCTCATGTTATTTAGTCAGTAATAATAGATACCAGTGTTTATATCCCTTAACATTCTAAAAATGTTCACCGTATACGAGACTTCTGCACGTCCTCGTCGAAATTCTGAAGCTTCTGTTCTAACCAGCTACTCAATTACTTCCTCTCCTTTAAGTTCTCACCGAAGTTCAGTAACTTCCTTATCTGATCTAACTGCAAATGAGTTGGCGTTTCAGGAGTGTATTGAAGTTATCGATGTTAATGTGGAAGAAGTCATCACTAACAAAGCCGATGCAAGAGAGAAAAAATGGTGGATCGACGGAAATTATAAAATTATTGACGAAAATAGGTAGGTATGGTCTTAGTCATTACATTACATAAATTCGATTCTTAATGTACATGCTAAAAATTTGATCCATTTTATTAGACTACCTCTTATCCTTGTTGAAGGTGTAAGTTATAAAGAATTCGAAAAAAAAAGTGAGATCGCGAACGCATCAAAGTACTGGGAGTTTCAAGACGGAATAGTAGTCATAATCGAGTTGCCAAATCGTGATCATGAAATAGCACATTATGCTTTCACTAAACAATTTATGCGCCAAGATCCTCAGGACACAGTTGATTATGTTGGATCAACAAGTATGTACTTCAGTGTTTGTTTGTGGACGTATATTATCATATTAAACCTAACCCTTTGTATTCAGCTTGTCATGCTACTCCAGGACGTATAACAAGAGGTTCTAGTAAACAACCGGATAGTTCATTCGTACCAAGACTTCTCCCTAAGCCAGCCCAAAACCCATGTGATGTTCAGGTATTGTTTTTTGAATTATATTATTGAAAATACAAAGTCCAATCTGAATCTATAATGGTTTGTAGGGTAATCCTTGGCCAACCATTATCATTGAGGTGGCTAATTCAGAAAGTCTTTCGAGAATAATGCATAAAACCACCCAATTCTGGTTGGCTCCAAACCGTGTAGAAGACGTTATTGTATTGAAATTATGGAAATGGAATTCAAGAAGAGATCAAAACGGAACCCCTTTGCGCCGTCTCACAGTTCAGTATTGTTTTTTAGTTTCATTTTTCATTTATTTATTTGCCTAATAATTGTCCTGTGTTTTTGGCAGTGCTATAAATTCTGTCGTAGAAGAAGCCCACTAAATGTACATGGGAACTTTCAACCAGTCCAAACTGTAAGAATTGGTATATTCTTGGCGTTGTTTCTTTTTCAATACCAATGCATTTATTTTTCAGATTGAATTCGGAAACATTGATAGAAATAATCAACAATATAATGGATGCACTACCGCAGGAATGAGTTCCTTAAATATTACTCCACGTTGCATTTTCAGAGGCTGTCCTCAAGTTTCACCATACCCAATACCTAATCATGTGATCATTGATTTCTTTCCTATTCAACAATCAATATTTCGTGCTATGTAGATAAGTAATAGAATTTTTTATAATGTATGGTCTGCATATATTTTTTTCAAATGCTGTAATATTTTTTTTAGTATCCATACATGATTTCCAAATACGCTCTGTGAAAAAATATTAACATAAAAATTCAGGCTAATGCACTCTATATATATATATAATATGTGCAAAATAAATAATTGGCGGAATAAAAATAATTTGAAATGCTTTATTAATTCTAATAAAAATTTGCATATCTCAACCTATATAATTAATTAAATACATCCGATCACTTTTGCCAAGAAAATTTTTTTTATGATACATAATGCTTCTATGCTAATACTACTCCAAATTATTTATAAATTTTAACTCGTTTCGATAATCTCTTTGATTCGATCTGACTATCAAAACCCACTTGATTTGCCAATACAAGTTTTTGACAGACTTTGCCAAGTTCTCACGAGTTAAACAGAGTTATTAATTAGTAGTGGTGAGGGCGACCAAAGAACTTAGCAACACTTCTACCTTCCCTTCACTATTATTCTCAGAGCTAGATGAAATTAGTTTGATCATGACCCAATCTACAGCAGTTGATACAATTCCATCTTCATGTAAACCTGCTGTGTCGTAGCTATGCTTTTTAGGATTGCGCTGAATGGATGTCTGCAGTTAGACTGCATTCTTGATTGATATCCTCAGTAAATGTGATTATTATATTTCTCACTTTTACATTCAACTGATCCTTTGCCATGGCTTCTTTTGGGAGTAGATTTTCACCTCACCCAAAGATTGATGTAACGCCATAAATAAAATGGGAAATAAACTCGCAACGTGTGGATTCATTTGCTCTAGTGATGTGTTGGGATGTAATCTCAATAATACATCTACAACCATATTTCGGATCTCTTCCGGAGTATCTTTGAAACCTCTATCAAAAAGTGATAATCTGTTATAATCATCTGCCTTCAAGCCAAAGAGTACCATTGATGCAAGAAAAAAAGATATATATGAATCTACTACCCCACCCCAACAGGACTTATTTACGATAGTACCTTTAAAATCACATGTAACCTTGATTTTAGAACTAAATATTTCGTTGATAACTAGACCTTTAGGAAAAGACGATTCTAAATTAGTTCAAAAAAACAAGAATGTAAAAAAATATTAGGATTTGTAACTTGTAAATAAATAAGAGGAAATCAAAAAAAAAATGATTATTATTTGACATAAAATAAAATATTATAATATGTAATTATGAAAATCTTATGAAGAAATCTTTTTGCTCAAACCCGGTAATAAAAAAAAATTGTAAAAGTGATGTCCGAAATTGCCATTAAAATCCAGGCGGACAAATCCGGATATCGAGTAGAATTTTATCTTGAAAATGCAAACCCAGAGGACATCTTTGGTGATATTATCCGGATATTTATTTTCCATAGAAAACAATAACATTAGATTAACATACTTTGCAATCATCACTGGGTAAAAATTTTAAAACAGAATGTAAGGCTAAAACTATATTATAATATTGGCCGCTCAAGATCTGGGAATAGAATCTTCGAGCAAAATTAAGGATTCAAATCTAATAAAGTTTATTTTATTATAATCAAAAAAAGAAAAAAATTTTTTTTTTATAGTTTCAAATCGATTGTAAAAAATCATAATCCCGTAATAAGTTACAGAAAATTACGTTGGAAAGTGCCGATACTGATGATCCGATATTCGGTTAAAATGGAACTTAAACCGAGGGCTGAAAAAATTAAATTTGAAAACTCCCTTTTTTGACATTATATTTCTTTCTAGCAAATAAATGAATAAAATATTTTCTACTATTGGAAAGATTTAATCGCAAAAATGGTTTTAAAGAACATTTTAGAAAAAACTTTAAGTGTCTTGGAATCTAGAATTGAGGAATTAGAGCAAAATAATGAAAAGCTACGTTCAAAATTCAAATTTTTAGAAGAAAAGGTAGAAGAATCCAAAGAGACTATATGTAATTTAGAAAAAAATGCTAGAGTACGAGAAGAATAAGCTAGAACCAAGCAAGAAACTAATAGTAATTTAGAAGAAAAGGTTAGAGAACTAAAAGAAGTAAGCAAGGCCAAT